TTCAACAACCACAACCAATCTTTTCTCGGAATAAAAACAAGTTGGCGTGTGGGGGAATGAACCAACCCAACACTATGATCTCACATACCTTAATAGGGATCACCCCCGACGAAATCCACGACGATCTCTACGAACCTTGCTTCTTTTTCTCCTTCTCCTCTTCTTCTCCTGTTCTCTCTCAAAGCCCTAACCCTCACTTTTTAAAAGGGAAAACTGATTTAAAATCAGTCTAGACCCTTAATATAACCAAAAGAAATGGTTAGGGAAAAGACCAAAATACCCTTACAAATTCGGATGAACTTCCCTGTGCCAACAGCCCAACTTCCAAAGGGCATAACTCACTCATACAAACTTGGAATCGAGCAAACTCAGCGGCGTTGGAAAGATCACTCCAAGAGCTTTCTAAACATAACTGAAAATACACCTAAATCATCCTGAGCTAGGAGTTATGACTGTCTGAAGTTGGCCAAAAACTCATTTTTTTTCCATACTTGAGCTAAATTTCCAGATTTTGAATTCTTTCCAAAAATGACTATTTCCAATTCTAAGCTTCTGCATAGCTATTTCAAATTGCCGGATGTTACAGATTTCCTTACAAATATTTATGTAGGATGGGGATATTCTTGAAAGCATAGAAGAAAGAATATGCATCAATCATCCATGGGAATGTCAGTATACGCCATCACCACATCTATCTGTTGGGACATAGAAAGAACATGTCTAAGTTATCTGAATTTCTGAAGGTGTAATGGTTAGAGCAAACTGTAAATGCAATATAGAAAGTACAGTATAATTTCCAATGATCCGTCCAGAGGAAAGACATGGCTTGACCTCTACCATGTCTATAATTTCCAACATAAGTTGCACAAAAACAGAGGGGGCATGTCATCTCTGAGAACCCCTCCAATGCCAGCCCTGGAAACAGTAATTAACAATGTTGTAATAAAAATCAGGTTTTCATTCAACATAGTTTATACATGGCTGGTGTTACCTGAATATATAGGCCTAAAAAGCTCTTAGCTGGAAACCTAGGGCTAAGATGAAATAAAAACTAAAAGTAGCAAATAAGAAAAAAAGAAAATATAGCCATGAGAATAACAAGAACTATTCATGCAAGGCAACCTTTTTTCTACAGATAGGGCAATTGTTCTTCTCTGATAGCCAAGTGAATATGCAACTCCTATGGAATACATGGGAGCACGGTGTTGTCACCGCCACCACTGATTCATGAGAAAATTTCCCAAAGCAAATAGGGCATAAGTCGTCTGCCAACTCAAAATTATGCACAATATTCTTCAATAATACTTCCCCCACTGTCATAATCTTCAATCCACATAGCAGCTCCCTAAATTCTTGTTTTTTCCCATCGAATATGTTTTCAGAACAAAAAAACAAAGCGCGCTCCAACAAGTAATTAGACATAGAATGAAGGATGTCTTGAATATCAGAATTTTCAACATCAAACTCTATGTCAAGTCGAGCCAAATATAGTTCAGCCGTACAATAAAATCCATTTAGATATAAATTTCTCCTCTTATTATCAGACTCTAGAACTCCATACATGTAAAAATTAACTACATTTTCATCGCTAACATTATTCCACAATATCTCGTACATATTACTAATATTAGTTAAGCAGATCATATCCCGTGAAGATTCCGAGTCCGATTCCGAGTCTGAGATCACGTCCACGTACGGGGACGTGTCCACGTCCACATTCACGTCCACGTCCACGGTCACCACAATCTTAATGCCTTTCGGATGTGATGAGGCACAGAAGGTAGTTTTACAATAACAGCTTCTCAAATAAGCTGAGATAGTTTTGGCTAAAGAATGAGTTGGGTCCAAACAGAACAATTTAGATGGGGACAAAGCATTGCTAATGCTTTTAACTAGATCTACAAATGTGGATTCTGCATTTACTAACACGAAAGGTTGGATAATAGGAGTCATATTATTTTTGACTCGAAAAATCAAAAATCCATATTCGGGTAATAAATCCCCAAACTTCCTACAATGACTGTATACATGGCTCACCATATGATGGTGCTTCCACTTGAACACTCTTATCTTCATTCCCGTGATACTTTCACATGAAAACGCCATCCCTTCTCACTTATTGTAAACGAAACAGAGCAGATTTATTTATATTGAATCAACTGATTCAATATTTTCCTATGTATATGTGAAGTAGGAAACAAATTCAATATTTCTGGCTGTGTTTTGGTGAGAATAACAAAGTTTATTTTTCTTTCCGGAATTAACTTCGTATTCAACTTCAAAAAATCGCAAGTTTAGTTTATATAATACAGGAAATAAAGAAAGAGTAGGAATTCTAAGTAATTTAGGATTTATTATTTGGTATTTTGATTCAATATTTTCCTATGTATATGTGAAGTAGGAAACAAATTCAATATTTCTGGCTGTGTTTTGGTGAGAATAACAAAGTTTATTTTTCTTTCCGGAATTAACTTCGTATTCAACTTCAAAAAATCGCAAGTTTAGTTTATATAATACAGGAAATAAAGAAAGAGTAGGAATTCTAAGTAATTTAGGATTTATTATTTGGTATTTATTTAATTATGTCTAGTTAGAATTTGTTTGTCCTACCTTATATAGGATTAGTTTTTTTAGTCATAGTTACGTTTAATTTGGTTTGTTAGTATTATAAATAGGGATGTCTTATTATATATTTTCATATAAGGCTGTTCAAATCGAACCGAAACCGATAACCCAAGGATGGCCACCAGCCCACCACCACATCAGGTTGTTGGGACATAAAAAGAACACGTTTAAGGTATGGAGAATTTCTGTCATCAGTACTTTCCTTTCATCATTATTTTTTAATCTTGCTCCTCTTTCAAACCTGTTCTCAAGCCGAGGGCCTATCGGAAACAGCCTCTCTGCCCCCCCTCAAGGGTAGTGGTAAGGTCTACGTATATCTACCCTCCCCATACCCACCTGTGGGGCTATACTGGGTTTGTTGTCGTTAGTAGTAGTAGGTTGTATTTTACTTCTTAGAATTGACAGCATAACAAAGAAAGAGTCATCTCTTATTAATTCTTCTAGTTTTAGCTGATGCATATAAGTTGTTCAAAACATTATGCCGTTTTACAAACTGCGCTTTGTTGCAATTTATTGTCGAGATAAATTGACAGTTCATTTTGTGGAATTCCCCTTTGCTTGTCTATTAGCTTGATTTGGTCGTTGATCAATTGTTTGTAGGAGTTGTTCGATCTTGTCTTCGTTGTTCTTAAACTCCAGTCTTCATCAATTGTTATTGTAGGAGTTGTTCGATCTTGTCTTGGTTGTTCTTAAACTTCAGTCAATTTAAATCATGAATGGTCAGAAACATGCAATTGATTTGCATCAGAGATGAATTTAAGGCTAGTAAACGAATAGACCACCTATCATGAATTATTAAGACTATGCTAGAGGTTTAACAATTGAGAAGCCTTCAGTTCTTTATTAATCAAGATGAACTGGCTGGCAGCTTGGCTCCCTTCACAGTGTTTTGTTCTTAAAAAAATTGCGTGTGAGCCATGGTTGACGTATTGAATTTGAAACTTCTTTACTAGGTAGTTAGTTTAGGAATCACTTTTTGTAGTGTAATAAAACCATGATATTTCATTACTTGTCTAGAGGAATCATTCGTGTGCAGCTATATATAGATGTGCACTGGTCTGTAATTGTAATACATGAATTGGCTAAGAATTCTAACTTGTCTTTTTAATTGCTTTCAGTAAGGAGATTGTGATTTCCAAGTCGTACAGCCGTCTACCTTTCGCTTTTTTCAGATGAAGCATGACTTGCTGCAAATGGAACATCCTGCTCGAATGAAACCCAAAGGTACATGAGAAAAAAGTTGTTTAATGCAACACATAAGAGACATATTGTACATTATGGTCATAGATTATAAGGAACGATATTATTACTTTTTCTTTGTTAGGATTTTGACAAGACTCAACAATTATTTGGGAAGTGAAAAGTTCCGAAGGTCTCTCTGCTCAAGTTGAGAAGGGAAAGTTGTTGAATATTTAATTAAGTGGTATCTATTCTCATGTTGGATTGATCATCATGACTATGGATCTAATAGCTTGTATGGTTCACTTTGGACTAGGCACGCACAACTTTAAAACGTGTCACAAGGGTCTAAAGGGTCGCTTCTTTATACCCCAGTGTCAAATCCCTTTGGGTTTTTTTTGTATGTTTTCTTCTTTATATGTTAACTCCCATTTAGAAAAATTATGGCTCCGCCATTTCCCTCATGTAGATTTGTTCTATCTCATTCTTATGGGTTTACAACATAAAAACAATACCTCTAAACTAATTCAGAGCAAGATCAGCCCACACACGGGGACTATCGCCTATCGAATACCAAAACATTTAAAATGTATACCAAATGCTATAATATCAAAAAATTCGATATGATAATTCTATATCCACCGTACCCCTATTTCATTTTAAAACAAGAGTCCATTGACATGGACAAGTAAAAGGAACAATTTTATCCTTTGCTTCCTTCATTATTTCAATTACTAATACAACCACCAGAACACCAAGTAAATACCAAGAGACACTGAAAGAAATAGTCTTATTTCAAAACTTGTTTGAGACTGGGGCATAGTTATTGTTATATCTAGAACTCGGTGACTAATGTACGATCAAAGCAGAAATCAGTAGGTCTTCCATCAGGTAAAAGAGCTAGCATGACAGATCCTTCAGCTCCTTCCTCAACAGGCATTATTGTTCCTCTATGCCAGGATATATCCGTGTTGACGAATCCAGGATGGACACAATTGTGCACATTTTTGGGTACTTATGCAAGAACTCTGGTGTAAGCTTTAAGTGATAGTTTTGATATGCTATATAGACTGGTCCAATCATCTTCCAACCGTTCACCTCGAGAGCATCTTGTTTCAGAAACAACGCGAATGACAGTCTTACTTACATTTAAAGCACCTCTACGGGAAGAGACATTAACAATTCTTGGTGAAGGAGAATTTTGCAGCAATGGAAAAAGAGCTTCGGTAACATTCTTAACACCATAGTAATTAGTGTCCAAGCAGGTGCAAATATCTTCTCAAGAACTCAAGCATAAAAGAACACATACAACAAGGGACCTGAAAGACTGAAGAAGAGCAATCTTTATGTGTTGGTGTTGTTGAATGCTTGTATTGTGCTAATTGTAGGATATGTTTCACATTCATAAAGAAACGTTTCAAACCTTTGTGTGTATTGAGTGTAAGAACATTGTTAGAGTTAACTTTGTGTCTTATGTATTGAAGTCTATATTAATTAGAGATAGTTAATATAGTGGGCAATGGAAGCATTGTTTTGGCTCAGTAAGTAATAGAGGTATTACTTAGAGTGAGATCAAGAATTTAGTCTCATTGAAATTTGTATTTACTTTTGCTTGTGATTAGTGAAAGCAGTTAAAATACTGGTACTACATCACACTGGTGGATGCATACATTCCATCAAGAAGATTCAATTTAAAGATATGCCGAGTGGAAGCAAGGGCACATACTAGGAAATGGAGAGTTCCCTATACTTGAGAAGATTTTCATTAATAATTGCCCTGAACTCAGTTTGGAGACACCCATCCAACTTTCAAGTTTAAAATTTTTTGATGTTATTGCTTTTTATATTCAAAGACTTGCGGTATCCAATCTGAAAACATTAAGCAGCCAACTTCTCAAAAGCCTCACCTCTCTTCAATATCCACGTATTGCGGGTAATTTACCTCAAATTCAGTCACTACCGGAAGAAGGCCGGCTTCCCTCCTCTCTTTCTAAGCTATATTTATATAGACATCATGAGCTCCAGACACTACGTCTTTGGCACCTCACTTTGCTTCAAAGTCTAGACATCAGGGATTGCCCTAATCTCCAATCACTTTTCGAATCAGCACTGCATGTTTATTGTTTTCGATTAGGGAAAATGCATAAGTACCCCCAGCCTATGCCCGAAATCCTAGAGACACACCTAACCTTTACTAAGGTCCTATTACCCCCGCCCCTCCCCCGAACTTAATTTATGTATAATATTCTACCCTTTTTGGGCCTACGTGGCACTATCCTTGAAAAAAGTGTCAACATGCGCTAGGCCCACAAGATAGTGCCACGTAGGCCAAAAAGGGGTAGAATGTTACATATAAAATAAGTTCGGGGGGGGGGGTAAGTAGGACCTTAGTAAAGGTTAGGTGTGTCTCTGGGATTTCGGGTATAGGCTGGGGGTACTTATGCATTTTCCCTTTCGATTATTTAAAGTACATTGTGTTATTTATTAATAATATATATTACATTTGCACTTTTTCATTTTTGTAATGATTATATTTTCTTTTTAATTTATAATAAAATTAACTTAAATCTTAAATAAAAATAATATAAACGAAAATTAAGTATACTACGAACATAATCAAAAATATAATTTTTATATAATACAAAATTACAAATAATAATAAATGATTTAGTGTTGATAAATTGTGTTACATCGATTTTAATTGCATCAACCCAATATGAATAGTCTTTTGAAATATGAGGTTGTCTTATTGGAAAAAAGTTAAAGCTATATTCATTCAATAGGGTAAAATAGTGTACAATTAAGTTTTTGTCTAACCCACACTCCAAAAGCTGACTTAAAGAGATTGTCTGAGCCTGATAAAGTGATCACCCATCTTATTAATTACTAATGTGAGACTTTTTTCGTTCTTTAACATATAGAACTATCATTGCAAATAGGCCTACCTAGACCATGCATTTTTGTTGTTTCAATTTTTCCAGTGACTTGAGAAAGGAGGATGCGGTTTAGAGTTGCACATGTTCACCCTTGTGCTTTGATAAAATGTATAAAAATGATGGTAAAGTAAGAAGAAATGAAAATAGAACATTATGAAGACAAAGTGTTGTTGTTAGGTGAAAAGTGATACTTTTGATTAAAAAAAAAAAGGGACAGTTTTGATTCTTTTTTCTTCTATGGCTGTCCGCATCCCCCACCCACCCACGCAAAATAAATAAAATATCTTTCCTCTCTTATTCAATTGAGATAAAAGATTCTTGTTGTTAGGTGAAAAGTGATACTCATGGAAAAGGTAAAAAAAGACAATATAAACTATTACTTATTTTCCTATAGCTGTCAGTTGTTGACTGTAGAAAACTATAGTTGTACCAATTATAGATCACTGATTATTCTTGTTTGCAAATTACTCTTAGCATTCAACAGGTAAAGTAAAGTTGTTAGTAAATCAAGATAGAAAAAATTATCTTCTCAAAATCATTTTGTGTTCTCCTTGTTTTGATTTGCAGATTTCAGAAATGGAGATTGGCTTAGTAGAAATGGGATTTATGTATTATTTGATCTATGATTTATTTATTTATGTATTACTTATTTCATTTTTTATCCCGCGTAAAATAATACTCTCTTCGTTTAAAAAAGAATGACCTCCTTTCTTTTTTAGTCTGTTTAAAAAAGAATGACTTCTTTCTTATTTTGGTAATATTTTAATTTCAGTTTTCCACGTGACATGTTTAAGGCCACAAGATTAAATGACAATTTTGTACATTTGACATAACTTTAATTTAGGACCACAAGATTATTCAAAAGTCTTCTTTATTTTCTTAAACTCCGTGTCAAGTTAAACTAGACTATTCTTTGTGAAACGGAGGAAGTATATAGATTTCCTCATATTAATCTATACATGTATAAGTTACGTGAATTTCTAAATTGTAAACCGAACACCACATAAACTCATTAATTTTATACATGAATAACTTACCTCTTAACCAACTAACAAACATGATATTACTTATACAAAATTTAACACTTACATAATTCATTTCCATAATTAGCATCAACAGGTAAAGTAAAGTTCCTTTAGTAATTTTGAAGATAGAAACATTTATCTTCTCAAATTAATTTCTTAAACCATTTTTAGTTCTTTATTTTGCTTTGCAGATGTGGTGCATGTTCTGAAGCTGAGGATGACTTTGTTTGGTCTTGAGGTTGTGCTAATATTCCGTAATGTTAACGTCATGGTTTATTTTTCGGTCTTGATGTGCTCACTATGTTTCAATATAAGTGTCTTAGTTTACTTGAGCACAAAGTTTATTAAATAAAATGAGAGTTTTAAATTTTATGATCTTAAATTAAAGATATGTGTAGTTTTTTAAATTTTATGATATTAAATTTACAAGGTAGAATTTAGGAATTGAAAGACATACTCTTTTTGAGACAAGTCAAAAAGATAAATACGACACTTAGATTGAAACCGAAGAAGTATAAAAGTTCTAACAAATTTATTTAGTTGATCTAATTTGCTTCTTCAAGGAACTTGTCACTAAAAACATTGTGCTTCAATACACAGAGGATAGGGCAAGGAGAGTTTGGTGTACAAAGTACTCCGCGTTAGTATAGTTCGGAAAAACGTCATATCTCAAGGAGTTTGATGTATATATACAACCTAACCTAATACAAAAATTAGTATTAGCCTTCACGACTCAAACCTGTGTGACCTATAAGTCACACAAAGACGAATTTATGGTTGCACCAACATAAGTCCCTTTTAGCACGTTAATAATAAGGTGTGTAGAAATTTATTACTTGGGGGGGCTTTGTACACCCGCCCTTATTCTCTTGCTTCAATTATTGAAGTGCAAAAGTAATGAAAAACCAGACTCCATTGAAAAAAGGACAGGGAAAATCTATTTTTGAAATAGTGAATTTAACGTCAAAACTAATAATTCAATGGACTACATTGATATCCATTATTTTAGACAAATTAGGAAGAAGTTCCTTCGTTTGAGGGAAAAGAATAAAAAATAAAAAAACAAAGAAGAAATATCTTACCAAAATCATATGCCTTTTTTCATATCTATTTAATATTATTGTCTCTCCCACAACTTTTTATCACTGTTAACTCATGAAAATGGTAAGAAAAATTACGGGTGTGAATTAATGAATGATTTGCTACAATTTTTTCACCATCTTTTCTTATGAGGTACCTCGAATTTCGAACTTAATCAATTTTTGCAAATAACACTTGAGATTATTTAAGAAGAAGAAGAGTAGAGAACTTTAAAAAATTGTAGTTTAAAAGTGTGAGGAAACCCCCTCTTTTTATAGCTACCAAATAGTAGTATGAATAGGTGTTAATTGTGCCTTATCCGAAAAGTCACAACCTTTCGATAAAGTCACTACTTATCGGAAGTTCATGTTTTTAATTGGGGGTAATATAGTAATTCAACATTCATGTTTGGAAGTTCATGTTTTTAAGGTAGTATAGAAGATTTGTATGTCCAAAATAATTAATCTCCACACTTCGATTTGTATTCATGATATGTTAGGCTCAATTAAGCACTATAATGAGCTGTTGAAAAATGGACAAGTGCATAAAATAAAAGTAATGAATAGACATAAAGCAAAAGATACCTTCCTCTATTATTCAATTAACAAAAGCAAACAGTTGGTATACTCTGATCATTTGGTTTTATTTTTCTCAATTATTATATTGAGCTAGTCAAGAAACCAGACTCCATTATGAAGTCTTTGTCTTCTTGTTGGATGAAAAACAACTTTTGAAAAAGAAAAAGGACTGTACCAATTACAAGCAAAAGGGAGGAAGAGAGAAATCAGTGATCATTCTTGTTTGAAAATTACTCTTAGCATTCAACAGGTAAATCTAACTCTTGATGACCACATGAACTCAGTTTATACATGATATTTGATCATTTATGTGATCTTCTGTAGATTAGTGTGAAAAGAATACTGATCTCATCCTTGTAGTTACAGTTAATGCATCAGAAAAACACTTGAACTTCTTCTATAGATGGTGTGAACAGCATATCTAGAGACACACACTTCCAGTATAATTAATGCTTTTGTTTCCCTCAAAACAACTGAGCTCTTTAACTAAGAGCCATGTTTACTGCTATTCATAAACATGGGGTGGGAGTCCCTTTCCTCTCTTGCTTCAATTATTGAATTGAAAAAAGTAATGAATAGTCAAGAAACCAGACTCCATTATTTTGTTTTTGGGAAAAAGGACAGTTTTGCCACTTCTTTTTTCTATGTCTGTCAGCTGTTGACTGTACATAAAACATAGTTGTATCAATTACAAGTAATTGAGAGAGAGCAATCATTCTTTATTACATATTACTCTTACCATTCAACAGGTAAAATAAAGTTGTTAGTAATTTAAGATTGAAACATTTATCTTCTCAAAATTCTTGAAATCATTTTGTGGTTCCTTGTTTTGCTTGCAGATTTCAGAAATGGAGGTAGTTGGTGGAGCATTTCTCTCTTCAGCTCTTAATGTTCTCTTTGAAAGGCTTGCTCCTCAGGGTGATCTTCTCAACATGTTTCAGAAGCAAAAGCATCATGTTCGGCTCTTAAAGAAGCTGAAAATGACGTTGCGTGGTCTTCAGATTGTGCTAAGTGATGCAGAGAATAAGCAAGCATCAAATCCATCTGTGAGAGACTGGC